CACCTGGTCAAACCTGTTCTGGAAAGGACAAGGAGAAGACTGGCACAGAACCAGGTGGTAAACGTTTCCTAAAAGTTGGCTGGTGTTAACAGTGGTTCACGGTCTCAGCAACACGAAAAGAGTTCGTCTAGAGAAGAACCACACATCAGGGACAGCTTAAGTCTCATCTTATGCACATATTGTTGAATTTGTGATCCTGACACAGTATACTGAAGGGGACTCTGAACCTAGGGCAGGTTCTGGTGTGGCACACCAGCGTGGCGGAGTCTGGCATACACAGTAAGGGCTATTTCGGGCAGGATGGCCCATCTGTCATCTGTGGGTCAGGGCTGATTACACATCTCACTCTTCTATCAGCCATGCCTACCTACACCTCTGGCTTTGGTCCTTGACATCACAATGACAATCCTGTGGGGAAATTCATCCTGGTGGCCCACGGACAAGACCGTCAAGGGGAACACCATGGGATGACCACTGGGCCAGTGGGAAATAGCTCTGACCACCCCCACACAGGCTGCCTCGCTCAAAAGTATTCCACTGACATGCAACAAGGTGACATGCAAAGCCCTGTCACCTTACAATTCTAAGTCTTTAGGCTGGAATGCAGTCCAGGCTGCAGCACAGGCTGGAATGCAGTAGCACAATCTCGGCTCACTGCAACCTCCACCTCCTGGCGCATGCCACCTGGCGTGTGTGTGTGTGTGTGTGCGTGTGTGTGTGTGTGTGTGTGTGTTATCGAGACAGGTTTTTGCCATGTTGCCCAGGCTGGTCTTCAACTCCTGGGCTCAAGCGATCCACCCACCTCAGTCTCACAAAATGCTAGGATTACAGGTGTGAGCCACCACGGCCAGCCACAATTGTCTTTTTCCAGCTCCTGTGTTTTGCTTTTTGTTAGGGACATAGTCTCACCCTGTAGCCTAGGCTGGAGTGCAGGGGCGTGATCTTGGCTCACTGCAACCTCCACCTCCTGTGTTCAAACGATTCTGGTGTGCCTCAGCCTCCTGAGTAGCTGGAATTATAGGCATGTGCCATCACAACCTACTAGTTTTTGTATTTTTTAGTAGAGATGGGGTTTCACTATGTTGGCCAAGCTGGTCTTGAACTCCTGGCCTCAAGGGATCCATCCACCTTGGCCTCCCAGAGTGTTGGGATTACAGGTGTGAGCCACCGTGCTCAGCCCATCTCCTGTTTTTCATTTGTTCCTTAACTGCTGAAAATCAACCATCTGCCAAGCACCAGGTAAGTCAAGAGACAGGACTCAGATACTGAGACAGGCGAAGTGGTTCGCACCTGTAATTCCAGCACTTTGGAAGACAGAGGGAAAATCACTTATAGCCAGTTCAGGACCAGCCTGGGAAACATAGCGAGACCCTGTCTGTCCCAGCTATTTGGGAGGCTGAGGTGGGAGGATCACTTGCGTACAGGAGTTCAAGCTATGATCACGCCACTGCACACTGCACCCCAGCCTGGACAACAGAGTGAGACCCTGTCACTAAACAAATACAATAAAATATTAAACAAAAGCTCAAGACACTGCCCTCAAGGTCAAAATAGAGAGGCAAAGACAATCAAGCCAGTAATTGCCACAGGGTGTGACTAGCAGAGCTGTAGCTGTGGTTCCACCACAATCCTAAGGCAGGGACACACCCTCATACACCTTGGTGAACGCCTTACAGACACCGGCACTGAGCCTTGCACAGGGAGCACTCAATAATCATCAGACACCAAGCGCCAGGAGGCATTTGACAGATGGTGAGAAGGAGGTGTGAGAAAGCTCCAGAGTTTGGAAGGGACAGGAGTGGACCCTCCAAACACGGGGAAGCGCTTTCAGCGATTTCTCTCCCTGCACTATCAATGACCAGGGCACAGGCAGCCCACGATCACTTTCGAATAGAGGTGCAAAAAAGGGCAGGTGAGCCCACGTTCGCGTGTTAGCTGCCACATCTCCAGAGGGGTGCTCACTCCCCAGGGAAGAGAAAGGTACCCAGGACCCTGACAGCCATCATCACTTCACAGGCAGATTCCATCTGTCCCCACCCAGAGTCCACAGGAAAACTGACTTCTGGTAAAAATGCCTCGGCTGTACACTCAGCCCACCAATTCTGAGTATCTACACGTGGACAGGCACTATGGGTTTAAAATCAAGAAAAACAGCCAAGGCCTCTGCCCTCGGAGAGCTTTTGCAGTTTCCCTACTTTACAGAAAGTCACCCTCAGGAGAATGAAGGATCTTAGCCAGGATGTGACCCCCAAGGCCAGCCCCTGTCTCCTAAATCACGCTTTGCTCTGCACCCGCTTTGCCAGACAGTTCTCAGAACTCAGAACTGGGTGAGCTCATTGACCGTCCCCTCTACTGGGTCCCACAGAAGGGTCCTTCCCCACGGTGCGCATAAGCAGCGGCACTCAGCCAGGGCATTCTCACTCCGCGGACAGTGGATGCCCCTCAGGGGGTGCAGATCAGAGAGCTGCAGGAGGGGGCGCTGGCTGCTGCCAAGCCCTCCGAGGAGCAGCACAGCCCACAAGGCCTAGGCAGGGAAAGCGCACGGGGAGGGGGCTTTAGGACAAGGCCCGGGGACAGAAGTCCACACTCTGCCCCACTGCGGTGCTGGGAGCGTCTTCCATTTAAACCACAGCTAACTGCTCTGTAAAACGAAGGTTCTAACACCTTTTAAAAGGTACTGAGGGGAAAACGAGTTAACGGTCCCAAGGACATGGCACAATGACTGACACTTTGTAGGCAAAAGACAAGCGGCTTTGGGGACTTCCAATGCCAGGAGTCGGGGGCGGGCACCTAAAGTCGCCGAGACCCGCAGAGTAGCTGCGCGGACAGGACGTCTGCACGTGGCCGGCTCAGCACAGCGGCGGCCGAGGGCGCGGCTCATCCGCCAGTGTCTTTCCCGAGGACACGCGAATCCCAGGGGGGATTCGCTCCAGGGGGCTCACTCCAGCAAAGGGGACGAGGCACTGCACCAGGGACCGGGCCTGACCTCTCTGGCCACCTTCCCTGGGGCCTCAGTTTTCCCCGATGGTGAGAGTGTCGCAGACCACGCGCCCTGCTGTGGACTCACCCGGCGCCCTGGCGTCGAGTGGCGACGGAGACCTGACAGACAGCGCGGGAAAAATCAAGATGTCTGCAGATTTCGAGCGATGGGGTGCGGTGGCTTGCGATGGTGTGTGATGGTGTGTGATGGCGTGCGATAGCGAGGGACGGCGAAAGACCGATGCCACACGACTAGCAAGCTACACTGGTTTCGCGCCGGCGGAAATACAGATGAGAGCGCGAACTGCGGCCTAGAGCGGAAGGAACCGACGCGAGCAGCCCTGCAGCGTCCTCTGGCGGAGCGGAGCTCAACTCCAGACTCTGGAGGACTTGGGATAAATTTCGAAAACAGCCTGAAAGTTTAGAAGTCATCTTCTCCCACTTGCTTTGCTTTTCCGTTTGTTCTGAAGATGTTCCTTGGTCACTGACTCTTATTAATCTGTAGGAATGGCCAATTTTCCATGATAGGAGCTGTTACTACGATGAGGGGACTGTGCTTAGTTTGAACTTCTTTCTGCAAGAGTTCAAAGGCGTCTCTTTGATTCACCACTGTACTCGGTACCCAGTTCAGTGGCTAGCACCGTTGAATGAATGCATTCTACCCCCACCCCATCCATTTTTTTCTGAACGATGTCAGGCCGAGATGACTGAGTCATGGCCAGAGACTGGAATGTGAGGGTGAGAAGATGAGCCAAGAGGGGAGCACAGCGGGTAACTGCTTTGCTAAACTCCAGCCTCGAAGTACACGGGATGGAGGGTGGAAAGAGTCTCTGAACTTGAAGATTTGCATATGAGGAACTTGATCAGATTTGCACAGTGAC